GCAGAGATCAGTGCGCTCATTAGCGGTGTGCAGGTGTGACGTGTGAGGAGGTGGAGGGGGGGAGTTATTGCGGGGGGGGGGAGTTGAGTGTGGGTTGAGTAAAAGGGGGGGAAATAAGGGGAGGGTACTTGGAGGGACAGCCGCCGCCGTTTGTCCGTGCGAGGCCATCCCCCTCTCTCTTTTTTGTTTCCACTCCCTCTCTCTCCCTCTCTCCCCCCGCTCTCTCTTCACTCAATCCTCCTTCCCTCCCCCGGGCACCCCTCGGCCTCCCCCGCCCTCCCCCCGCCCTCCCCCGCCCTCCCCCTCCCCCTCCCCCTCCCCCTCCCCCTCCCCTGCTCAGGTAGCGGCTGTGCTGTGGACGTTGCCGTCGACATTTACGCGTTTGGCATTGTGATGTGGTGGGTGCGTGGTGGGGTTGGGGGTGGGTTGGGGGGTGCTATGATTAGTAGTTGAGCGTATTGGGGACTCGTGGGCGATTGGGTGGGCGGGTGGGTGGGTGGTAGTCATTAGCAAATTAGACGAGGTGGCTGTGGTGGTGGTGGTGGTGGCGGCGGTTGTGGTGAACCACATGTAAATAGAAAACTTGCTAAAACCTGAAACTAAAACCCTGTAACCCCAGCTACAACCCTCCCGAACACCACCATCATCACCACGTTTCATGTGTATCTGGCTCTTCCCCTTTCCCCCCTCCTCTCCCCCCAAACCCAGTATGCTTTCCTTAGCAGCAGCTTCACTCGCCCGTGCCCCCTCCTCTCCCCCCAAACCCAACCCCGCCTCCAGGGAGATGCTGACGGGGCAGCCGGTGTACCTTGGGATGAACTCGGACCAGATTATAGAGAGAGTGCAGAGCCAGGGACTTAGGTGCGGACACGTGTGTGTATGTACGTATGTATGTAAATGTTTTAGCGATCTGAGCCGCGAGAATGAAATACGAGATCTGTATATACGTACGTTTGCGTGAATTTGTGTTTGGGGGGGGGGGAGATGGGGTGGAGGAAGGGTTGGCAGGGAAGGAAGGGGAGGCTTGGTTGTGGTGGCGGGGGGGTGTTGGAGTTGTGTGTGGGGGGGGAGGGTGACAAAATGGGACGAGGGGTTACCTGTTCTAAAGACTAGTTGAGGGAAGGGGAGGGAGCACTGGACTTCGGACTGAACTCTGTCTCAACCGTTTCCCAACCGCTTTCCAACCGCATCCAACCGTAACTCAACCGCCTTCCAACCGTCCTGGCAGGCCCGTGCTCCCCCCGGATACCCCCCCCGATTACGCGGCGTTGGTGAACAGGTGCGCGTGTGGTGTATTGGGTTGCGGGTTGTCCCCCGGGGGAATTTAGGGCGGCATCGGATTTGGGGACTGGTGTTATTGTTATTAACACCGAAGAGGCGCCGCTGCGCAATAATTACACCATTACTTGGTCAACATATCTGTATGCGAGGTGGGCCCTGCTATTGTAAGATTCGCTTAGGACTCCAGAGTCTGGAGGGGCCGGGTAAGGGCTGTTAATCGGTAGGTAGACGACTCCAGGAATGTGTCGTATCATGGGTACATACATGCATACATATATCTGTTTAATTAATGATGCATACCTGTACCTGTGTGCCATCATCAGCTCGCGAGCTCTTTCCAGGTAATCTAGGCTACATATAGCCTTGTCAGGTTGTGTGTCCGTAAGTCCCTGACTAAGTCCTGCCTATTTTACCGGCCGCGGATTACAACAGGCGGACCATTAATCGATTGTCGTTAGCTAACGCACATCTATAGATGCGGTGGTGGCTATGTAGGTGTATGCAACCGACACGTGTGGTCCCTGTAGCAATGAGCTCCATGCTTTGACGTGAAGATGAATGTGCAACAAGCATATGGGCGCCACCTTCCGGCTATCTGGCGTCGTCACCTCTTCGCCGGCACATCCGTGCTGCTGATGCTGCTCTTGCTGCTGCTTCCGACTTCCGGCTTTCGCCGGCAGCTGCTTAACCATCCCTCTTTCATGGCCCTGCAGTGCGTGCCGGGCAGTGCGAAACCGTAACAATACGCGATTCGCCGTTATATTGGAAATGTAAACCCAACTATAGTAATGTTGCAGACATAATGAAACAGCGCAAGCGAGCGTGGCGTTGTGGGGGTGAGAATGTTGGTGGGAGGAGTCCGCGTGTGTTAAGAAACATATCTGCTTGTCAGGAGGGGGCGGAAAAATAGAATACGATGTACGGCGCTGCAGGTGCTACCGCCGCTATTTCCCTGCAATGGTGGCAAGTCTGCCTCCTTCCCGAATAGTACTAACTGGGCTGTGTAATCGGCCTTTTCTTTACATTTCGTAGTTAACCAGAAAGTTCAATGTGAAATGCGGGGTTGTTAGGTGGTGTGAAGTTTGGTTTGGATCCAACTTTTAATGGACCCACCATCGTTTTGCCCTCCGGTAACAGGTCAAGGGTCTCTGTCCCTCATGGACATGACCGTACTTGAACAGGATCTGTTCTATAGGTCATACACCTGTCTGTGTTCTTTAACTCAGACAAGCTCCTCAACCCAGACGAAGAGATAGAATCCCTGCACCTGAGCGCAACGTAAGGCCGCAGTGGCCGTGCCGCTGGCACGGACGCGCGGCTCTGGATGAACATCCCTCCGAGCCTCATTCCGCCGGTAGGGATGGTGCCTGGGACATTCAGATGGGTTCGATTGAACTTTTCTTCTTGACCTTTTCACAAAGTTCACAGTAGCTTTAAAAGTTCTACAGGGAAGGTGTGCCATTCTCAATGATCATATCCTAGGACGTGTCTCTCGATCATACGCTCACACAAAGTGTCTGGTAGTCTGCGGCTATCTGCGCTTCCTTCCTACAGAAGTATGTTTCATGGGGCCCCAGTTCCCCAGGCCCCACGCCAAGAATTGCACTTCATCCTCCCTGCCCTGCATCTTGTGCTGTGGCCCTCCCTGGATCCCTGCCCCAATCCGCGGGGCATGAACACGATGTACACGATGCCCGCCGTAGTCTCTCCCCACAAGCCCCAACCACGTACGTGCCAGGGCATAATTGAGTAATTGACGCCGCGGGATTTACTTTCGCTGCACCCGAAGCGGCTGTAGTTGTTTCCAGATCTGTTGCTTTACCGTGACAGGACAAAAGCGGCTAGAGCTTCTGAGCTAGGGTTCTGGATGGTACCCTGTCAGCTTGTCAGTTTGTTAGTCCCTCCCGGTCCCGGTCCCGGTCCTGGTCAGTGATTTTTTTTCATTTAGGGGGGGTCTCAATTTATTCCGACCTAAGTAACAAAGTTGCTAGCGTCGCCGTAATGTATTCCTTAAGAGTGGGGCGCTGG